CCCCCCCCCCCCCCCCTCCAGTAGTCGAACAACTTGCTTATTTTAAAAACCGTATTGAGCCACCTTAAAATGAACCCTTTGAGAAAGTCTACATCAGGATTTGCAGATTTACTTCCGCGCTTTACTTTTCAACAATAGAAAAGAATTTTTTTCGATGACAAATCACATTGCCAGGATTTGTTTTTCTCGTCGCTTTCGCTGTCTGGAATGGATTTTAGTCTTCGGTACATCTGCGCATTTACGATGTTATGCCGACTGTGCTCCGAGTGTAAACCTACGAGGTCACGTGGTCTAAAAATGAAAACAACAGCATTGCGTTTATGTTAGAAAAGCATCGTTCGATAAATAATCGGGACTATTTGGCCAAGAAGGAATTGATGTTTTCTAATCACAATAGCCTGACACAAAGCAATCACACCCGTAGCAGTTCTAGAAGTCGATTTGAGGTGAGTGTGCGCTCGATTTTTGTCTCCATGCACTGTTTTTGTAAGCTGTTGACGATCTATTTTTGTCAACACAAGAACGTTCACTGTCATTCTTTGAATAAACTAAGCAAATAAACGAGAATATTATGTGAGAAGCTAGTTACTGCAAAAAGTTAGTATTTTTATCCATGTATTTTTATGTATCCGCGAAGGCCAGAATCTCCGATCATGCCTGTTGACAACGGGTAAACTGTTATACATAATTTTAGCCTTCGCTTTGTTGTGGATGAAAATTCCACGAGTTCAAGTGTTTGGTGCTCAAGGGCAATATGTTAAAGTTTTATTTAAATGGGCAAAGAACAATTGTTGTTTGATAGTTTTTGAGTAAATGTATAAAGACCTTCGAATGAAGTAATCTAGGGAAACTACACTACTTCAAAGTCGTGTGGTTACCTGTTCTGTTGTGGTTTACTAAACCTAAACAATCAATGTGTAAATGTGGGCCTGTCATTGCCCTGTTTGTGTTTGTCATTTTGGAATGACAAGTACAGCCTTTGGCAGCAAACGATCGTTCTCTGTGAAAAGGCATAAAAACCAGCATAATTCCACTGTTGGATATTCACATCTACATACTAACGACAATCAAAAGGTATATAATTTGCTTCATAATAACATAAATATGTAACAAAACAACTTTGAGTAGCTCATAATATATAAACTGTATTGTTTACACATGGAGTATGATATCTTGATTATGTAAAGAAGCTCAGGCTACCCAATGGATGCTTTATATCATCTAATATATATATATGTATATATATATATATATATATATTAGATTATCGAAAATTGAATGCAAACCCCATGTGAATACCAGGTGATTTGTATTATGTTTATATGGGGAAAATTTATGTAAATAAGGCTTACAAGTTTTTCACAAATGAGTATGGATGCAATTTTGTAACTGTGGTCCATTTAACGTTTGCCATTAATTTAAGCTTCTTTACATGCAGTTTAAAACTGTCTTTGGGGGAGTAGAATATATCGGACTGCATTAGGGTAAAGTAATGTTAGAGGTATACTAGTGAAGTAGGGCATATTGTTACTTAATCGGTTAAAAATCAATCAACAATTTATATTGGTAACTTTACATTTGATTGGCCATATTCGTATGAGAAGACAGAGTTCCATATAAGAAATGGATTTCTGCGTAACACTGACACCTGTTGAAAGATACCGGTATTTGCCATCTGCTATAAAGTACAAAATTAATTTCAGGCAACATTCAATCGAGTGAGATACCAACAAAATCTTGACAGTATATATTACATGAATTTGTAGTTAGACCTTGATAACTGGCTAGCAGGTTCCGCAGGTTCGATTCTTGCCAAGGACCTATAGTTGCATTTTTTGCTTCTGTTTCCCAGATGATCTTGATACGCGGAAAAGTACTGGCACTAGTTGTCAAATAGAAATCCATTTTATGATTAAAACAACTGAATATCTCCTGTAATATACTTTATTTCGATTCCATATTTTTGTCAGAGCTATAGTTCTCATAAGCAAACATAATTACAAAATGTCAACTAGTTTCATAAAGAATAACGAAAGATATAATTGACTGAATACATCAAAATGGATTTCTATTCGGACAACCCTTTCTGAGCGCTGATTGGCTAAAATACGAACACGAGATCACCTGGTCTGGTTAGCTCTAGTAATTGTATTTATTATATATATTCAAACTTTATTCTCGTTTGTAATTGGTCAAAACGCCCCTGCTAATTCACAAGGTATTATTGCACGCTGTCGAACCCAAGACCCACTGGCGTCGGCAGCTTGCTAGAAATCCTGCTAAAACTAAATAATTTTGAAGAGTAAACAAAATGGCTTTTAGCTAGTTTCCATTGTTAAATGATGAAGACCTTTCAACGTTGCTTTCAGAGAAAGATAGCAAAAGTACGAAGAGAGCAACAAAACTGTTCAAAAGTATTTTCGAGGAGTATCTTACAAGAAAAGCGAAAATAATATCCGACAAACTCTGTCGAGCTGGCAGCGATTTTGAAGTTGTTCTACGCCGAAGCTAGAAAACAGAACGGCAAGTTGTACTCGAAGAGCTCGCTCAGAGCTCTTAGGTTTGGGCTCAATAGACATTTCAAGGAACTTTTTTTATACTGTCGTTTAATTGTTTTAAAAATATTGTTGCACGGAACGAACATTTCATTATTTTCGCATTAAATGTTTATCTATTCCACTAGTGTTGTTCTTTGCCTCTTGTTTTTGAACATATAAAACAATTATTGGATTCGGCTTTCGCATGATATCGAGAATTATCAAGGCCTCGGTTTTTGTTATCCACCTAAGCCTCCGGCTTTGGTGAATAACACAAACCTCGTCCTGGATAATTCTCGATTTCATGCCCAACCTCGTTCAATAATTGTTTAATAAATTTCCACTAGATAATTTCCATCAACGATATCCTTCAAGCAATATTCAATCGAGTGAAATGCCAACAAAATCCTAAGATTAATTTCAACCCTTTGTAATAAATTTAACCCATTAAGTGCCAATGATATGTAAAATTGTCTTGTGCTAGACAGAGCAAAATAAAAAAAGTAAGGTGCATTAGTGTGCAATGCAACTTTAAAACCCATTGAGTGGCAGCACTCTCCCCGTGACAAGTAAAATCACCTGGCATTAGACAGAGTAAAGTAATATACATGTAGTAGGGTGCATTTGGGCACATTGCCACTTAAAGGGTTAACAAGGTGCATGGGCAGATGGTCTGATTAACCCATTGAGTGGCAGCACTCTCCCCCTGATGAGTAAAATCATCTGGCATTAGATGGAGTAAACTAAAATAGTAGGGAACCTCTGGGCACATTGCCACTTAAAAGGTTAATGGATTAAGATCTCTTGTGCCATTTGGTAGAGATTTTTTATCTCAAAGTAAAAAATCTATCCTAAGCAAAACTAATCATAATTTATCTATCAGATACAAATTTAAGAGAGTTGGCCATCCAACTTCTCTGCTTAAACAAAGAGAAATTGTATAGCAGGATAAAGTTAACGTGGAAAATTATTTTGTCTTTTCTATGATAAGATAAATCAATGTTTGAATATTAATACGATTATTGTAAACTGATGAATCAGGAATCAGACAATATAGTTATGTATTTCATTTAATGTAGGAGTCGTATAAAATGTTGAATAATAGTTGAAGGGTCTTGTAGATGTAAATTATTGAGTGGAAATTTATATACATGTCATGTATTCGACCTAACCACGAACAGCTGCGAAAAATGCAACAATATAGGTCCCTGGCACAGGAATAGAATCTGTGGTCCTGTGATTCTGGTGCAGCCCTCTAACCAAATGAGCTGCAGAGGCCAGTTATCAAGCTCTAACCACAAATTTATGTATAATATAATATATATATATAGAGAGAGATAAAATAAACCTGGTTTACTTCATAAGATTTATTCACTACAAACTTGTTTCGTATGACAAGCAATGCTTGCCAAATGCAGACATAGAAACAATTTTCTCTTAATATAATCTGTATATATATGTAATCTATACGTAATTTAATACTTGATCATTCCATTAACGTCAAACATGTATATAGTATATATAACCTTGGCAACAAAATAGCACGACATTTAAATTCACCTGGTGAGTGTGACAAGCATTGCTTGTCATATGAAACAAGTTTGTAGTGAATAAATCTTATGAAGTAAACCAGGTGTATTTTATCTTTATTAGCTCTATACTTCGGTATATCGAGCACTCTACTCATATATGATTCTAAATACATATTTGGTATATATATATATATATATATATATATATATATATATATATATATATATATATATATATATATATATATATATATATATATATATATATAGTTCTATCTATACTACTATATGGTATTGAGCACTGTTTGTGTTTCGTAAACCAAAATCTTAAGCTATATATATATATATATATACTAGTGTACTGCCATGTATAGATTTATTTATTTATTATTACTTTTGCTCATGGATACTTATTTGGAATTACAACACAATTATACAGAGTTACAAGAATTGGGCTAGGGAGAAGGCTTTTAATTGAGACCCCTGGTTTATAAATTATTTATAATTTTATTTACACTTACATTATTAATCGGAACTTAAGATATATGTAGTTAGAACAGAGAGCATAGCAGTAAGTTCTAACAACAGTTTGCAAAGATATGTACAGGTCAACAGTTTCAAACGTTCACTGGTTAAAAATATTTATTTGGACGAGCTTTCGATTGCCAGTCTGCAGTCTTCGACGAGTAGATTATAGAGTGAATGATGTGATATTTACAGTGATTAAGACCCCGTTTACACGGTACCGGACGAATTTGGGACCGGTCTGAAATTCGTCCTTTTTCGCCTATTTACACGCGAATTCGTCCTGTTAGGGGGTCTCAAATTCGTCCGGTTCCGTGGTTCTCGCGTGTTTACACGGCCGAAACGGACGAATTTCGGACCGGTCTCAAATTCGTCCGGTACCGTGTAAACGTGGTCTTACAATTACAATATACTGACACAACATACAATTATTGACAGTTCCGCCTACATATAGGATTAATGACTATTTACATTGAAGAGAATTTAAAGTTTTTAGAGTTTTTTTTAGCAGAAACCGGTATTGTTCTGGCAAATATTTTGAATTATTTTCAGAGTTTTCAATGCATGCAGTGTGCCAAGATTCTAATGTCGATCTATGTCGATATAGTTGTCTTTGTCAATTATTTTTTCTGTTTACAAAGTCAATTCTATGATCGTTTTTCCACGCATGGTTCGCGATGTTTGAGCCACTTTTATATTTCTCCACGTTTCTTTCATGTTCTCTTCTCCTAGTTTTGAAGGCTCTTCCTGTTTCTCCAATGTAGCTCCACGAGCAATCAGAACAGTTGATATGATAAACTACATTCGTCTGATCTTCAGACACTTTGATCACACGCACATTGATGGCAAATGACTATCCTACGAAATTCCTACAACAAGTAGAACATAAACGTGTCATGCAACAAAACCGAACTCCTTCACCTGAAGAACTTGTACGTTTATTTTTTGACTCTGTGGAAACGAAGACTAATTACAATTACGCCGTCCTCCCATGCATACATCAAAGGACTAACAGAGCCACTGAAACGTTTTCTAAAACCTTATGACATCTGAGTAATCGTGGAGCTACATTGGAGCATAGCCTATCGAAGGGAAGATGGCTCTGAAACTCATTAGAATAACAATGTAACTCATTATCTATGTTATAGTCAACGTTTATTCATAAATCTGGTCCTTCACCGTCACGTGTGCAGAATTGTATTTTTGCCCAACTGACCAATAGCAATGTTTTAGGAAAGTTACCCATCCGTGACTCGAACAATAAGGTAAATTGGAAATTGCTCTTGGTGGATTTGGCAAAAATACAATACACACGTGACGGTGAACGACCTTATTTATGAATAAACGTTGACTAACATAGATAATGAGTTATATTGTTATTCTAATGAGTTTCACAGCCATCTTCCCTTCGATAAGCTATGATTGGAGAGACAGGCAGAGCCTTCAAAACTAGGAGAAGAGAATACAGTATGAACGAAACTTGGAGAAATATAAAAGTGGCTCAAACATCGTGAACCATGCGTGGAAAAACTATCATAGACTTGACTTTGTAAACGGAAAAATAATTGACAAAGGCAACACTGCATGCATTGAAAACTCTGATAAAAACATTTGCCAGAACAATACCACTTTCTGCTCAAAAAACTCTAAAAGCTTTAAATTCTCTTCAATGTAAACAGTCATTAATCCTATACGTAGGCGGAACTTTCAATAATTGTATGTTGTGTCAGTATATTGTAACTGTAAATCACTGTAAATATCACATCACTCACTTTAATCTACCCATCGAAGACTGGCAGTCGAAAGCTTGTCGAAATAAATATTTTTAACCAGTGAACGTTCGAAACTCTTAATATGAATCCTGGTTTCGCATCTAACATGTTTAAATGTACAGGTCAATTAGTAAATATCAAGATTTTGTTGGCATCTCACTCGATTGAATAATGGTTGAAGGGTCTTGTAGATGGAAATTATCGAGAGGAAATTTATATACATTCATTAGAACAGGGCTTGAAATAACGTTCCCAAAGTTCCCGATCATGGTGATGGGCAGTCGTGACTTTCCCTGCTTTTTCAGGTTCAAAACCCTGCTTTTCCGCCGATCATAAGCAATTTCTTGCAGATCATTGATCGGTGATCGGCTGTTATTTCAAGCTGCAATGTGGTAGTGCCTTTGCGGCAACGCGCCCTACTTTATTATTTTACTCTGTCTAACGCCAGACACTTTTACTTGTCAAGAGGAGAGTGCTATCACTCAATGGGTTAATCAGACTGTCTGCGTATATGCAGCAATACGCCCAGATGCACCCTACTTTATTATTTTACCCTGTCTAACGCCATTACGCCAGACGATTTTACTTGTCATGGGGAGAGTGCTGCCACTCAATGGGTTAACACTTATTATATATCAATGGTCAAAGTCGCATTTTTCTAGTGTTTTATTAGTTGAGAGCATATCACGTGAGGGTGACGAAATTAGGCTGTCTCCCTCGCAACAGCGCGAGAGGGAGATAATACGTTATCGACCGGCGAATAACAAAAAAAATCCATGCACGTGAAGATGCGACCTTTGGACATGCCTAGTACGTAATTAAAACTTACGCTTTAAGTAAATGCAGTGTAGCCAGTGTTTAATATAACGTTTTAACAATAAAATATTTCATGTATTTACGTTCATTTGTTCTTTAATTTGTTGTTTCTTTGACTATTGATATATAATAAAACACTTATTTACTGAGACCTCGGGAAAGCAGTGTGTTTTGTGGACCCTCGACCGTCGATATATGTTTCCCTCGGCTTCGCCTCGGGAAACATCGACGGTCTCGGGTCCACAATCTCAGTAAATAAGTGATAATTAACTAGAGTGTTTTCCCAAGGGAAAACAAACTGTTTTTCGCATCTTCTTCTGGTTAGGTCTAAAAGTGTATAGTAGAAATTTACATTTGAAAATTTGTCTAGAAATACCAGTGAATGTACTATACAGTTTGTTAATCGTACATATACTGTATATTTAATTTTTTAGTTACAAGTAAACAGAAACCCAGACGACGATTCAATAGGATTAATCAATAGAAAGCTTCCTGGTGAACTGGTCTTAAGGTAAATACCAAGTTTCATATAAATATATGTTCTGAAATTCATTCAACCGAAACAGAATGTGACCGATCAGGGCTTCGATGGCACAATCAATAGAGCATGTGTCATTCAGAATGTCGGTTCGATTCTCATTTCAGATTTTGCAATCAAAATATTGTGTCCTCAACAAGGAAAATTATGTGAAGTGCATATATTTTTCTTTAAAGGACATTGGCAACCAAAATTTTTATTACTTATATCTATTAGGTACACTCACGGAATATTTAATTTCGTATTTTGGCCGGTTTGTCGCGTTTAGTTGTCGCGAAAATTGTGATAAAAAGTTCAACAGTTGTCGCCATTTTGAAAATAAGCGCGTATGCTAATTTATGCCACAAATACATTATCTGACGTCATTGGCTGGGTAAACACAATTTCATGACTATAAATAATACCGAGTACTACCACGCGTAGTGCACTTTGAGCCAAAACAAAAGGCAGAAAAGTTTTACCAAGTATGTGACTAGTTTGCAGGGCTCGAAATAACGTTCCCAACGTTCCCGATCATGGTCATCGGCAATCACGACTTTTTTCCGATCAAATGAAAATCTGACCGATCAGGAGCCTAAGTTTCCTTGAAAAAAATTCTAAATATGCTAGTAAATACACATCTGAACAGGAAGTTTTTACTTTATTTCAAATTCAAGTTTAAATCTACGACATTTATGAACTTATATATATAATACTAATAGTGTAGCTACATTTAACATGTATTAATAAACTTTAGTTTATTATAACACTTTTCAAGTTTTAATTATAGTTATTGCACTTTTTCACACAAAAGCAAGAAACACACTTAACACAGCAATAATCAATATTATCAATTAAGAACTAAAACTTATTATTTAATATTATTAAAAGAGAAAATCCTACTGAAAACAAAAATCCTACTCAAAAAATCCTATTAATTTGAAATTATTATAACAAAAATGTTCGTTGTCAGCGGTGCAGATTGGCAGATTGCAGTCTATTGAAGAGACGACGATATTTAAAAATATTCGGATTGCAGTCAGAGACGACAATACTTCATGCAAATTTGTTTTATAGTAAATTACTTTAGAGCGAGAATAGTGCTGCGGCCTTTCCTGTCGTATGACTCGTATCAACTAATTAACAAGAAAGCTTTTTGCGTGTTTTTGAATGTGTATTATGTTTTATTTGTCTTTTACCGCGTACAGGTAAGCATGTCTTTTAGACAATGGTCAAATATATTTCTGCCGATCAAGATGAACGGCAACGTTGCTTCTTCGCCGATCAAAAACAATTTCCTGCCGATCATTGATCGTTGATCGGCCGTTATTTCGAGCCCTGAGTTTGTAACACTATTTCTCGTGGTATATATCCTACTCTGTGTCAAATAAACGCAGAAATTCGAGTGTAACCAGGCAAATTCTAATCCAATATTTTGTGATCAATTACCTGTATTGTAAATTGCGTCATTCCTTGCTTTCCCAGTCGCTCGATATGTTTTTATCTGATAGTGTAGACTTCTCTTGTTTGATTGCGAAAAGTGTTGGCCAGCATAACGCTCAAAACGACATATTTTTAGCTAACATAACACGCACGCAATAGAATTCTCTCTTGTAGTTTTGGTGCTACCCATCCAATGACGTCAAAAAGTTCATTGACCTTCGAGATAATTTTTCAAAAATGTTTTCCAAGATGGCGGCGAAACTGGCCGAAACACAAAGTTTGCATGCATTTTACTCGTAGACTAAAATGTTCGAGAAGGAAATGATAATATTGTCATAGTTAGTTCGTCAAGTAGGATTGAAATAGCCAATAAAAATTTTCGTTGCCATCAGTAATTGTTCTGGAAATGAGAATTTGCTGAAAATTTCCAGGGGTGAAGTTTATGATAGCTCGTAGTAAAAACAGAAAAAAGTTAGGGTTACCGAACTCGTTTCGAAGATATGACAAGTGCAATATTAGAATAATAGTGCAATATTAATACAAGTGCAATATTCGACTTCGTCGCGGGAAACATTGAGATTCTCGGGAAAACAAAATTCGCTATTTCCCGCGAGAGCATGTAATACATTAAGTGTATAATATATGATGCCATTGTTCTGCAGTGGTAACACCAACTGTATTCTACGTTGTTCCGCAGTTCTACAGACTACACTATTTTTACATGCAATACTTGAGTTATGAAGACTAGAATATGTACTAGAATTTTCATCAGAAACGAAGTGCCTGTTCTTACTCGATAGGGTTCCAAAGACTGAGGTGTCAAGTCTATATGCCTGTAGATTTAACTACTGTTAGAAAATCAATACTTCCAAAGCACTTATATTACAAAAGCTTTGGAACAAAATACAAGCAACCATACCAAGACTGTTTACGTCGTAAATAAAAAATTACTTGATTTGAATTTCACTATTCTTGTCAGAACACAATTTGAACTTACAATACAATTAACACTGATATTAATTTGAGTATTTATTTATTAAGTGACGCTAAAATATTAATAGAATTTATGATCTTCATCGTCTGATTTTGACACACAATACATGCATGTACTACTATCTGCACATTCAGTGCAATAACATAACTAACAACGTTTCATAAAAAATCGAAAACCTACCACATTTCCTTGTCAGGCAAACGAAACTTTATCAGCATTTATTAGATTAATTCAACTCAAACTTTGAAAATTACTACTCCAGGTATATAAAATTGTGAAAATGAAATGGTTTTGAATTTCCTCACACGTATAACGAAGCCGTCCACTATTATTCTAGTATGCGGTGTCAAGTTGAACCATGCATGGGATAGTGTTACGTTTTATAAAGTCTGCAGAAGAACAAAAAGAAAATGTTGTCGACCATACTACAACGTTCTGTTCAAAGGGCATGTACTGTATATACTGTAAACCGATGACTGAAATGCTTAAAGATGCTGCAAAGTATGTAATGTGAACAAACACTTTGTTTACATTTTGAACTCAGTGCTACATGCAGTTGTAAAATATGATTAGATATATATTATACTGAATTTTTAACACTGTTTTGGTTCGCTCTGCTTGTAAATGAATACAGACCAGAGATTCAATTCAAGAAAGTTCGGAAGATGCGAAATATTAATAACATTCCAATGGTCGGGTCCCGATCATTGGAATGTAGGCCTGCGCAGAACGTATGCGCAGAACTGACTTTACAGCATCTTTAAATGCAATCATGCTGTTCTTTCCTGCAGCATTGTTATCGGGGAATTGTTCATCTTTATTTAATCATTTGTCACAATACAATCATTACGCATACATCTACGATAAACAGAGCACACAAGTGTGACTGAGGAAAGGAACAGGACTTGCGTCCCAATTGACACCTGATCCAAACATTTTAACTAGACTTTGCTGCTTGTTGTACACCGAGCCCAATGAGATTATAGTCATTTGTAAGCGAATATCAATATTTCTAACTTTTTCTCGATCAAATCACTAGCCTAACCCAAAACGTATTTTTCAACAGAACATAAGGAACCTGAGGAATGCCATGAGATCAAGTGAACAACAAGCAGCAAAGCACGTTCAGTACATTACACAAATAACATAATTTATATATAACTTTTAAATCTATAAGTAAAGCTAGGAGGGCTGCAAGAAGTTAACCTAGATACATAATGTTTACGAACACTAAATTTGAAAGAGTTCATTGAACCACATGGGGTGTACCACATAGTTCATTGAACCACTTGCACATATGACAAAGAACGAGTTTCTTTGCATATCCTTCCTCTTTAAAATCCAAATTTGTGGATGACAATTTCTCCTATCATTTACACAAGATTCGCTACGATTTTAGCCAAAATCGTCTTACTAAATGTACTAACATTTTACTACTTTCAGTTATACGGTGCATGTTGTTAGCCAATCGCAGTGCGAGTTTTGTGACGTACTGTAGTATTATTTCAGATATTTTCCTTCTGTACAGAAATATTCCGAAAATCCCAATAAATGTTAAGTTATATGGAATATATTTATAGAAAGACGAAAAATATCTAATCGTTCTAATTCATATATCTGTTTTATTTTCTAGAGTTTTTTCATTCCTCGATGTAGTTTCTCTTTGTCGCTGTGCTCAAGTTTCGAAGGTCTTTATATATTTTCCACATACATTTTCTGAATTCTATGAACACTTTTCTGTATCTAAACAAATTCTCTGTTTGCTTATTTTTGTTTTTCTTAGTTGTGGAATGTTTTAGCTTTGGATGGTAGTAACTGGCAGAGAGTTGATCTATTTGAATTTCAACGAGATATTAGTGTAAGTTCTTCTACAGTATACTTTAAATGGTCCCGTAAATGACATTATAGAAGTACTGTATAAAATATTACTAAACAGGGTGCGATAAATCGCCTATATTACGATCTGGTACTTTGGTTTCAGCCACGTATTGTACATTACATTTTCTTGGTACCATATGACGTTTCCAAACCCTAGGTATTCCAAACAAGGGGGAATTTCGTTCTCGACCAATCGGCGCATTTGTTTACATTTTCGCTCTATATGTAAAACGCCTTCATCACATGGAATTTGTAAATACATATGGTGTCACTTGAAAGCTTTGCTGCAAGAGGATTTTTTCGCATTAAATTTGGATATGTTGTTCTTCAGAGATTTCTCTTGAAATTCCACGTGCGGACTTTTTATTTATTGCGTTATTGCGAAGATATGGGTTTTCAAACTTTGCCTATACTTTTATAGTATATATTTGTATTGCGTGCGGAAATTGCTACCACATTTTGGCCGAAAATGGTAGTATTTTCCGCACGCAATACAAAAGTATACAAACTTTGCAAGGCTATAGTATTTTCCGCATTTTACAACATTTCGCAACCAAACTTTCCAATTTTACTCATTTAGTATGCTCTTTCTAGCTGTGGTGATTTATTTGTATCTCTTTGCCTAGTTTTAAAATTAGTCTATAATGTGAATTGTGTATTGGTACAACAACCAATAAGAATTGGTCATTTTAACCATGCACGAAAGTGAATGTGTGGATTTTTCATTGGTGTGATAGTCTGATGAGAAGACGTCTCAAACACAGATAAAATCTACATATACGAAAAGTCCGCTTGTCTGTTATATAAAAATCTATATTTGTGAAAAAGATTTGTAAATAACTCATGGATTGGTGTTTTCCGTTCTTTGCAGGAAACTGTAATCCAAAATTTGTCGCGTCGATGTGGCGGATTCCTTAAGAGATTAGGACTTAAAGGATGTAAAAGTGTTGGTGATGGAGCATTAAGGTAGGTGTATACTGCGTGCATGTGTGTCGTTAATTTACAACGTTTTTAGACCCCATTTACACTAAGTCGAGGTCGGCTATATTGCGAGTTGCGAGTCTGTAAGTTGCGAGTTTGGGATCGGAGTTCCCAAGTTCGTTTCTCATTTAAAGTGGCTGAATAGAGTTTGATCTTGAAAATATACGCAAATGCATGATACAAAAACAAACTTCAAATCCACCCCAGTAAATCGAAACATATGTTCATTGGATCTTCCTATAACCTTAAGAATAAAGTATTTAGCAATCCTATTATAATTAATAATAAGCCAGTACCCAGGACTAATAAATATTCATGCCTTGGCGTGAATATGGACGAAAGGTTGTCTTGGGAGTTGGGATAAACATATTGATTCTATCTGTTCTAAGGTTGGTGCCGGTATTGGTGCAATGAGATCGACGGGCTAAACCTTTTGTACCACTGTCGACAACCAAAATGCTATATAATGCTATTGTACAGCCTTATTTCGATTATTGCGGCCCATTATGGGACAATTGCGGAATTGGCCTCAAAGATAGGTTGCAAAAATACCAAAATCGTGCTGCAAGAGTAATTACTGGTGCAAGTTACGATATTCGGTCATCTGAGTTACTCGAGAATCTAAATTGGAAACGAAACTACGTTAAATCTATTTTCATCCATAAAATTTTGAATGGCCTCACCGCACCCAATCCTAAAGAAGCATTTCAATTTAATAATGAAAGACATAATACATACAATCTCAGAAATAGGGAAACTGATTTAGCACCACCTATGCCGAAAGAGGTGCTTCAGTTATAACGGTGCCTTGCATTGGAATAATCTTCCCCATGAGGCAAAAATTGCTGAATCCTTAAGCTCTTCTTTCAATCGATATTAGAACAAAGAATGAGTTGAAACTTGCTCGTGTATGATCGTGCATTAAAAATCATCGTATTTTCTTGTTCTAGCTGCAATGTAGTCTCATTTTTTTTATATTTCTTCATTTATTGTAAATAGTTAATTTTATATTTCACGCCCCTCATGGAAATCAGCCTCCCAACGGTTTCATGTTGAGGCTATAGCGTGGTTAACTAAAGTTTGTATTTATGTATTGATACGTCATTGTTGCCATAGCAACAGCAGTTACACAACTTTTATGAATTCAAGCTCGGCAAATAGGAAAATTCTGATCTGATTTTCAACAAATAATATTTGCCAAAAATGCGGATCTAAATCGTAATTTATTTTTTCCAACTCTACTCAGCCACCTTAAATGAGAAATGAACTTGGCAACTCCGATCCCAAACTCCCAGACTTGCATTCTCGACAAACTCCACTAACATTTCTGTATATACAGGGTGTCCCCAAAAAAGTGACATTATAGAAATTATCCTATTGTTGTTAAGCACAGGATTCCATGCGCCTTGTAATTAAAAATTCAATTCAATTGTGTTAACGCACTCTTGTGTTTAGCATAGTGCTCAGGTATTCGAATTATAACAATAGGATAATTTCTATAGTGTCACCTTTTTGGGGGACACCTTGTATGTCATGCATCAATGGACTTATTCCCTAAAGCCTGGCGCACACGATGCGATTTTAGTCGGCCGATAAAAATCGTTTGACATACCGATATACATCGGTATACTCCGCACACGATTACGAAAAAAATACGCTCCCTGAACTGTAGCCGCCATGTTGCCAAATAAATACAAGCAGTGATCACAGCATGAAATCTGATTGGTTATACTTAAAATTCCACCGATAAAAATCGTATAATATCAAAACGTTTTGATGTTGTCCGATTAAAATCGAGCAACAAAAATCGGTTAAAAATGACACCGCACACACAACGATTTTGTTAGTTTTAGTCAAACGATTGTTATCGGCCGACTAAAATCGCATCGTGTGCGCCAGGCTTAATTAACAAAATTTTGATTTAGACAAGTGTAGACAAAGATTTTATCACAGCTTGAAAAAGCATCACAAAATTAGTAATATTCCGAAGTTTCGTTGTGAAATGTTGTAAAATGCGGATAATATAGCCCTGCGAAGTTTGACGTTTTTCAGTCATTTTGTATTACGCACGGGAAATTGATACCTTTTTTCAGAAAACGGGCTATATTATCCGCATTTTACAACATTTTGCAACGAAACTTCGGAATATTACTAATTTTGTGATGCTCTTTCAAGCTGTGATAGAATTTTTGTCTAGACTTGTCTAGATCAAAATTTTGTTCATTTGGGAATTAGGTCCATTGTTAATATGGTTTTACGAATAGTAAAACCTATTTATAAATATGGGAACCGCTATACTGTAGATGAATATTGTATGAAATTGACTAATAGTATTAATATTATATACATTGTTTGTAGTTCCCTGTCGCATATCAGGGAATGTTACAAATAACTGATAAGTACCACCTGAAAATTAAACTGTATCTGAAAAAACCTTCCATGGGACCAACCTCAAATTATCAAAAAGCGATTGAATCCTGCGGTATTCGGTTTGCGAAAGCGTAGTGTTTCACTATACTTTTGTGTGGTGGCACTGCTATGTATGATAAAACAACTTTGATTTCGGGAAGTTTACCAGTCGGAAATTGTAGGGTTGTAGCTCTCCTTAAAAGCATTAACAATCGTAGATGGTTGTGGAGAGCATATAAGATGTGGTTTTAAGTTTGTTCGAATGAGCATAACACATAGTGAAGATAATGAGTATGACGTCTGTGGTCTGCATGCATATGCAAGCTCCGGCATATTTTACCGGAACCGAAGTTGGAAAACTCCGGGAGACAAAATTATTATGAAAACTTATTTCATATTTCAATGAACTTTTGGTAATGGAAAAATTAAGTACTTAAAAATTAAGTACTGAAATACTTTTGCCTGCTTCCACTTTTAAATATGAAATTTCCTTAAAATTTCCTTGCCGGAGCTGGAGTTTTGACTGCCGGAGCCGGCAGTAGGAGCCTAAAATAACCGGAGTTTGCACAGCTCTATTGATCCACAATTACTAGCTCCAACTCTGAATAAAGTCGATAGACGAAGCAACTCATTTCGCCATTCTTGAAAACACTAAACGGTGTTTACCGAACACCAAGGATGAAGCGAACGCGCTATAGCCAATGAGAAAAAGCCAATCAACAAGCTTACGCTCCCTTGGAAATATTCATTTGATCTGCATTGCTATTCTATGTAAGAAGAAGAAGAAATTTATTGAGCACTGTTAGTAATTTATTGAGCACTGTTCCTCCTTCCTATGGTTCCCGAAGAAATTCAAAAGTAGTTAGGTTGGTGTTACCTCATGTCACTTTGTCGCAACAGGAGTCACACACCAATTTACGGCCACCAATCTTATCATGTTATAATCAAATGTTTAATTTTTACTGTGAATCAGTAGCTTTACCACTATTTGTACCTGCATGCAAAAATGTGACATAAAAAAATATATTAGTTATTACACCAGATCAAAATGACTCTGATAGTTTGGTTCAGAATGTAACATGACTCCGCCTGTAATAACCGTAGGGGCTAATCGAGACAAGCGGAATGTAATGAGGAACGTACTACATGTTTATCGTATTTATTGAAATATCGAAATATTTGAACATTGTTTTGAGCATTTAAATATTCAGTTTAAACAACCCCAAACATCTTACTTAATTATAATGTGATTTTTCACTTTTTTCTTAAATTTTGTTCTAGGACATTTTCAGGTGAATGTAGGAATATTGAAGAGTTAATTCTCGAAGGATGTAAAAAAATATCGGATAGGTAAGTTGACACTCGTATAATATGTAATAAAAGAAGTGTACATTCATTTCAAACTGATAAACTTATCTTGGTAAATTTTTGTTCAGTAATTATATAGACCCTTGGAAAGTTTATTATTGTTATTATTATTGTTATTGTTAAAACTTTATTTAAAGAAAGTTAATTTACAAAGAAAAATGCCAGTTTAGCTTTCGCTAATCTTCCACTGCATGGACCTTCTAAAATTAACTATATAATTAAATATACTTACATGCAGTACAATTTACATTTCTATATACATACTTACATAAAGTACATATCTATATAGAGAATAATACATGGGTGCGCGGAAATACCAGATTTATTTCGAGTGTTGAACATGATATCTCACGAGTGAGCGCAGCGAACGAGTGAGATATCATGTTCAACACGAGAAATAAATCTGGTATTTTCAACCATCCATGTATTTTTCTGTTTATTATATAAACAAAATTCAGTGAAAACGTCCGTGGCAATGCGTTTTACAACAAATGATATTTTCACACGTAAAAATATCGTATTTTTTACGTGTGTTTAAATACGATTTTTCTCAGTGGCCAAAAACTCTATATAACACTTATGTTTATATAATAAATAGGTATACTGTATAACAAATTAGAATTAACATACATCTTAAGAGTTATTTTTATACGTACATGTGTGTGAAATTCAAGGGTTTTTCGAACTGGAAGATCTTTTATCTGGTGGCAACATATTATAAAATATGCTCCAGTGTACTGAAGTCCATGTACTTCTGGTTATACTGTAGTTAGTGTATGGTTTGGTACCCATATGGGGCTTCGGTGGCGAAGTGGTTAGCGCACTTGACTTTCACCCCTAAGGCGCAGGCTCAAGCCCCAGCGAGAACGTCCTCGACGCGACCCGAACCCAGTCCTCGTGCGAAAAGAGTAAAAGCCGACGCTCTGCCGAAAGCCGCGGGTCTCCTCCGGGTACTCCGGTTTCGTCCCACAGGGAAAGCTAGGCAAAGGGACCCACAGTAATCGGCATGCATATCCTGTTGTGGCGATCCTGCCCTAGTTGGCAAAGCCAAACAAAAAACAAAAAAGTCCATATTGGCAGTGCTTCAGGTATGCCGCTGGGAAACTGCTGATAATGGTTTGAACATTAGTTATAGTCTGGAGCCAAGTTATTTAAAGATTCACAAACAAGTACACATAACTCTGTACTTTATCGGCAAAATGTTTGACTGTTCGAAAAGTGGTTTAGATGGAGAAAGTTTAGATTTATCATAAATTAGTCTAAAATAAGTTTTTGTAGTTTATGTATTCCTAATGTGTGTGGTGATTGTCCCCAAACAGTACAGCAATAATCGATCCTTGGTTTTATAAAATAGAATTGTTGTTTGAAGTGGAAGATACATTTTGATTCGGCGGATCAGAGCGATAAGTTTACTTGGATTAGGAGCTAGATCATTGATACGAGCTTTCCAAGAGAGATGATTATCAACACTCACACCCATGCAGCAGTTTTTTTAATTCTGCATTTTCAAGCACTACAATCAAAGTTGCCGGTGTTTAGACTTTCCATCTTACACTCTTATATAATTAAAAAAGTATAGTTGACTGAAAATGTTTATTTTCAGTCAGTTACTATTCAATTATGGAACAATTTATATCTAGAAACATGCATGTATTGCAGTCTGTTGCACATATTCAAAAATCAAATCGTTATTGAATAAGAGACTACGTAGTGATGATATTACTTTATATTTTTTTCTAGCACATGTTTCAACCTTAGTAACTATTGTAGAAATTTGAGAGTATTGGACTTGTCATCTTGTCCTCAAATAACAGACAATGGTTGCATCGCCTTAAGGTTGGTACAGTAATGATTCAATCCTATATTTTAAGTGTATGATTGTGGTAAGCCTTCACTGTAAATCTGGGAGTGTTACCACAACACCGAAATCGGTGTAAATTCTTGCAGCTGTGTGGACACCGATTTAGTGTTTACTTACACTCATTTTGGTGTTAAAATACACCTTTTCAGTGTTAAATAGACGCAGCTGTGTGAACACCGAATTGGTGTAAATCTACACTACGAGTGTAAAATAACACCTCCGAAGATCTTTTCACACTCTTTTGGTGTAAATAGCTTGCAGCTGTGTGATCACCGATTTGGTGTAAATCTACACTACGAGCGTAAAATAACACCTCCGAAAGTATTTTTACACTGTTTTGGTGTAAATAGCTTGCAGCTGTGTGGACACCGATTTGGTGTAAATCTACACTACGAACGTAAAATAACACCTCCGAAGATATTTTTACACTGTTTTGGTGTAAATAGCTTGCAGCTGTGTGGACACCGATTTCGTGTAAATCTACACTACGAGCGTAAAATAACATTTCCGAAGATACTTTTACGCTGTTTTGGTGTAAAGCACCTTGCAGCTGTGTGGACACCAACTGATGTTAATCTACACTACGAGCGTAAACTAACACCTCCAAAGGTCTTTTTACACTGCATTACGTACTTACTGAATACAGCTGTACTGATATGGTTTTTGATGTAAATGTACATCCAATTGATGTCTAAAGTAGCTATATTCAATATAAACTTAATGTAATGTAAAAATACCTTTTTGTATAAATGCTGCTTAAGATTGTATGTTATTAACTCAATTTAACTGAATTACTAAATTAAAACAATGAAGAGAATAGAAAGTACAAATGTAAATTATATATTTTTAGAGTTTAAAACTATAGTCTATGTTACATATTTCGATTCAGTTGAATCATTTCAACATAGTTTATATCAGTCACAACCCAAATTAAAGTTCATATTACCAGTACAGGCGATTTGAAACCAATAGAATCTTTGCTGAATGGCACTTTGACACAGTCGAAGAAGAACACATCACTATATTGTAGCGCACAAAATCTACAAGGGTTTTGGTGTGCAACTGTCCTTCGTTAAACATTAATGGCCAGCAGGTTCCCTTGAAAGATAATTATTTTGCATTAGAGATTATTATAAAGAGTGCACTGTACCTTACCTTAGAAAGTATCAAACAACTTATAGAACAAACCCAATCTAATTTTTTGTTGGTGACATATCAGAGTAAATATTTGAGATTTGGGTAGAAAGTCTGGCTAAACTATCAACAAGTAACACTTTTTAGGGCAAGTCGAGTGGTTTAGGGCATAGTATGATTTAAACAAGGCACATTGGCAGAGA